GCCTGGTGAAGCAGTGCTTATCATCGCTCTACAAAAAGAACATCCAGAGGCTAACTAAGGTGAGGCATCCAGCCTGAGATTTGCCACTCCCCTGCCAAGGCTTAGAGGGGCTTCTGCCGAGAAAAAGGACTTGAAATAGATAGATAGATAGATGGATGGATGGATGGATAGAGATAGACAGACAGACAAAGGATAGACAGATGATAAAGATAGATGATGATAGATGATAAAGATAGATAAATAGATGATAGGTAGATAGATAGCTATAGATAGATAAATAGATAGATAGAATTCTTTATTGGCCAAGTGTGATTGGACACGCAAGGAATTTGTCTTGGTGCAAATGCTCTCAGTGTACATAAAAGACAAGATACAGTCGTCAAGAGTCAAGAAGCATAAGGTACAACATTTAATAATTAATCTTTTATTACTTTTATAACACACAGAATTACTTTTTATTTGCCATCCATTGCCTTGCAAAAAATAACCCTTCCCTTTCTTTTAAAACTTGGCAGTGTCTTGCAAATTCCACTTCACGGATGAGATTTTAGAGGAGGGGATAGCAGAAGAGATCACTTGTTCAATCTCTCCATTTGTCTGTGCTTCTTCTTTTCAGACATTTTTAACACTGTCACTACAAGACATGGCGAGCCGAGTGCAATTGTCGGGGCCTCAGGAGGCAGAAAAATACGTCCTTCATATGGTAAGGTTTTTTTTTGCCTTGGCTGGAAATAGAAGCTGAATAGCACAAAAGTAACCAAGCAAGGGAGGGTTTGTTTCCAAGCAAAATCCTGCTTCAACCGTGTCCTTTTTTATGCAGATAGAAGACGGGGAAATTTTCGCAAGTATCAACCAGAAAGACGGCATGGTTTGTTTTCACGACAATCCCGAGAAATACAACAACCCAGCGATGCTCCACAACATTGACCAGGAGGTAAGTGAGGTTTGATTATTCCGTCGTTAACTTGGAGCGGCCGTTAAATGAATGATTGTGAGTCCAGGGGCTACCAGCCTACAGTATTGGAGAATTTCGCTGCAATGCAGCTTCCACGATTCAGATGTTTTCATTAGCTTATCAAAATACAAGGAAAAATGAAGGTAATGGGAAAATAAAGGAGGAAAGAGGGAAGAGAGGAAAGTGTAGGGGAAGGAGGAAAAGAAAGAGAATAATTCTTAATATTCTAATGCAGTAGAATAAGGTCATAACATAAAACCTTCAGTTTTTCCTTTCAGTAATGTATAGCAGCCATTTCTATAACTGCAAACCTATCAAAAATGAGCGAAACCCAATGTATCAAAGTTTCATTCCCCACCCTCCACCTCAAATGTAAAAGCCCAGAAGCATTTTCCTTCCAAGGCAAAACAAAATGGCGTCCTTTTCTTTAATCAAAGCAATCAATTTAGCCATCTCGGCTAACTCCCATCAACTTTTGCAGCCCTTCGTCCATGGTGGGCTGTAAAACAGCTTCCCAGGAAATCCCTTCTATCTCCCTTTAGATGTTGAAATGTATAGAACTTGACGAGAGGCTGAAAGTGATGGACCAGGAGATCACCGTGAACCCTCAGTTTGTGCAGAAGGTAAGAACCAGAGTCATCCCGGAATCAAATACTCTTTCGCCATACTGAATTTTTTTTTTTTAAAAAAAATATCCTCATAAAAAAAACTTGAGTCTCTGTATCAGCATAAAGGAACCAATTTCATTTGATGAGAAAATCTGGCCCTTTCTGCTGGATTCTCCTCTCTGCTCCATGTCTGCGTAGATCACAAGATATTTTGTTTTCTGCTCTTCCAGATTCAAAACAATTCCTGTTTTTTTCCCTTTGCAGAGTATGGGCTCCCAAGAAGACGAATCAGGAAGCAAGCCCTCCAGTTATTCTTGAAAGTCACATTTTTGCTTGCTACTCTCTTGTAAAACACACATATACATACAAAAACAAAAAATAAACAAGCTAAAGAGAGACAGCTTTAGGATTTGAGTGTTAAGAAAAAAAAAAACCCCAAGAAGAAAGCAGAGAACTGTCTGTCGCATCTGAACTGAAAATGTCTTCTCAGTACTGTACGATTTGGGTGGGGAAATGCTCTACAAAGGAAGGGGGGGAAAGTCTCATTCTGTTGTGGATTTATCTTGAGATTTAACATTGTTAATGCATTAAATAATTCACTTTTTTGTTTTATGAATGTTACTGCTTTGGCAATGGCTTCCTTTTTTTTTAAAAAAAATACTTTCTTCAGAGTAAAGTTCTACCAGGCGAGTTAGATTTCTGATGGTATGAAAACTCATTGTTCACACGGAAAGCCGTTTTCTTGCAGCAAAATCAAGAGTGTTTTTGTAAGCTTAAAAAAAATTAAGGGAAAATATTCATTATTCTCTTTTCTTCCCACCTTAATGTAGATTTTAAAGGTTTGTGGCTTTGATTCGGCAGGGAGATAGGGAGGCTTTTTCTTGGCAATTTCATGGTCCCTCCAACTGCTTTAATACCCCCCCGGCTAAAGGCCTGTGCAGTTGGGAGTTTCTTAGCATCACCTCTGTATCTCTTCTGCCTCTAGTTACCTTCAGCACATCTGGTTGGGGAATTCTGCCAAAGGGACACCTGTCATAATCCTGAATCTCGTCCCAGGGTGCTAAAGCAGGGATCTCCAACTCTGGCGACTTTAGTGGCTTGCGGACTTCGACTCCCAGAATCCTCAACCAGCATGTGGGCTGGGGAATTCTGGGAGTGGAAATCCACGAGTTGTAAAATTGGCAAGGAGATCTAGAGCAGGGATCTCCAACCGTGGCGACTTTAAACCTGGAGGGCTGGGGAATTCTGGGAGTTGAAGTCCTCCAGGCTTAATGTTGTCAACGTTGGAGACCCCTGATCTAGAGATCTAGAGCCTGGGAAGATGCCTCGACCCCTTTCCCCCGTTCTGCGCTTCCTGCATGGGTCAGATAGGTTCAACAACGTGGGGAAGATTCCCATGTTCCTCCATGGCTGGCCAGGGAATTCTGGGAGTTGGAGTCCACCCATCTCGATAATGAAAGTTGTTGAGATTTGAGGATCCCTGGACCGTCTCCGAGAACCAAAGCCCATCATCCTCTCGCACCCAAAAACAAAGGCAAGAAATGATTGTCCGGATCTGCCCCATAGGGATTTGCATGCTCTTTGGGGCAGAGACACCCCCCCCCCCAAAAAAAATAATTGTGCTTCTGTTTGCATGCAAGACTTTGCAACCCTGGTTGATGGTGCAATGGAAAAGCAGGGGGGTCATCCAAAGAATGCACTTTTTTTTTCTGTAATTCTCTTTGGTCCGAATTCCTTCCCGCAGGAAAAGCGAGATACAAATCTAAATAAAATCCTCTGGATAAATTCTGCATTGTTTCTATCATATGACTCTCATGGGACTGACCGGGCCGTACCATTTTCCCCAGGGGAGGAGAAATATAAAATCCAAATATGAGGGCAGGAGATTCTGGCTACCTTCCCTCTTCCGAATTAGCAGTCTATTTGGCTTTGGTATTTTGAGTCTTAAAAATCGGAAAGTGCAGGTAAATTGCTGGTGAAACCTCTCTCTCCCCCCATTTCTCTCAGTTAGATTAGCCCTTCTCTGGAAACCTCAATGGTGGTGGGTTGAACCAATTACAGCCGAAGGGGGATCCTGCGAAGTAGTTGGCAAAGAAACCCTGAAGGGCCGGCTACTCCAGGAGGATTCATGGGCGACTTGTGCACTGTTTAGACGTGCTTCTAATTCCTTGCCTGGCCTTGGATTCCACGCGGAGTTTCGAAGGAGGCGAAAGTTCGCTGGGGGTCCCCCCTCCAAGGAGGCGTTTCATGGTTCCTCCCGTTCAGTCCGAGTCAGGCGCTTTGGGCGGTGCCAGAAACCCGGAAAGACGCGCATGCGTATTCCTATCAGAACGGAACCCTCGACTTCTTTACAGGCGACCTCAGACAGGACTAGCCCCTTGGTCTGGGCTCCCGAGGAGGGAATAAAGGTAGGATCGTGTGCGCATGCCGGTATGAGACTAGGGAGAGAGGCTATATTAATATTGACCTCAGGTCTCTTGCTGGCGAAAGACGAGCCTGTCCCCAGATTGTAGGGGTGGCCAGCATCTCCCCCCTAGAAGCACAATCACACCTCTATGCGTGCGTGGTTATTTATGCGGCAGGTTCATTTAATGGCCCCCTCCCCAACTTGAGCCATCCCCAAAGATGCTGGGAATACAACTCCCAACACTTGCAGAAGTGATGGGAGTGGGAGTAGTCGAGCAAGTGGGGAGAAAACCTTGAGTGTATCTAGCTGGATGGAAGCCCCCCCCCCCAGGTGTCTTGAGTCCGGTGCAGAAACAGAGGGAGGAGGAAGGACCGAGAGCCATTCCAGATCAGCCCCCCACCTCTCCCTCCTGAATCCTGGACTCCCAGGCAGTTCTATCATCAGTGACAGGCTATCCAGCTGTCCTACCTTGCAGGGCTGCGGTTAGTGCTGGGGTGCATTGGTTCCCTTGCAGCAGC